GTCGGACTCCGAGCAGTGACCGTCACGCGGCTGCTGCGGCTCGTCTCTGAAGCTCAGTCCGGTCCGGGCCGCCCGGGCCTGGCGAACCGTGGCACAGTACTATCAAGAACTTGTAATTTTTTTTGTTCTCTTTCACTTTTAGATCATGAGATTCGCTCTTCTTCTCCTCTTCTGTCTTTTGCCCTCCAACCCCTGCTCCTGCTCCTGCTCCTGCTCCTGCTCCTGCTCCTGCTCCTCATCATCATCATCATCATCCTGCTCCTCCTTCTACGTCTTCTTGACGCGAGTTTCCTTTCAACAGCAAGTCGGACGTCCGCACATCTGATATATCAGACGAGCTCTCCGGCTAGTCGGTTAAGTTTCCTGCACTCTTCCTCCTCCTCCTCCCCCACCTTCTCTCCTTCCCCTTCTCCCTGCCTCCCTCTCCCCTTCCCCTGCTTCCTCCATCGACCTCACACGATGAACTGAGACACGTCAGACACCTTGATCAGCACTTGACGGGAAGCAGGGCCCCCAAACCGCACGTCGGCTTTCGCCACACAGTAGGCAAACGCTTCCTCCGCTGTCAGAACCTGGTTGCCACTGTCCGGCAGACTCCCTTCCTTTCCAGTCAGATGGTCGTACGCCTGCTCCAGCGCCTTCTGCAGCGCGTCCTCGTGATCTGTCCCTACAGCAGTGAAGATCACGTCCTGGCCGAGGAGGAGGCGGGGAACGGGACTGTCCTGCTCTTGACCAGCGTCACCCTCACCCTGGCGACTCCAGCTGCTTCGAACCCGACCCATGCTGGCTCCCCCGCTGCCATGCACGCATGTAGATCCCCAACGTAGAGCATACCCCCCTCGCACAGCACAGGGAGTAAGACCTTGCTTCCTGTGCTGAGCTCCTTCAGGTCCATGTTGCCGCCATGCTCGTACGTCGGCTCGAAAGTGGAGCAGCCGCAGCCGAAGGCGTGGGAGGAGTGAGGAGCAGGAGCAGTAGCGATACATCCGATCATGGGCTTAAGAGGAAGCTGCAACCTGTCGCTGACCATCACATGACTTCCTCCTCGCAGCTCGAGCTCCCTCACGCTGCTGCTCCGTCCAGTAGCTGCTAGCTTGGACGCCAGGCAGCCGCAGACGCGTTCGTCTGCTATCCATACTGACCAGCACCTTGTAATCTCGATACCCAACACCTCTACCTCCAGACAGTCTCCTGGCTGAGCGTCCTTGACGTACAGAGGTCCAGTAACGATGTTGATCTCCTCGACCTCCACCTGCTCCCCTCTGCTCAGCCTCTCGTAGGAGATGTCAGTGGTTTCGAAGGAGACGATCGCGCCGGAGCAGACGGTGAGAGCAGGAGGAGCGTCGGGGAGGAACTTAGTTGCTGACTTGCTCTTGGGGATGAAGAACGATCCTTCTGATGCTGCCATGAGATGCAGGAGGAGAGAGGAGGCGTCGAGAGCCTGGAAGACAAGAGCTCAGAGGAACGCAGGAGGATGGAGTGAGGCAGGTCGAGGAGGGTAGGGAGAGGAGAGTGCTGAGGGAGAGGGGATGGAGTGGAAGGTGAGCAAAAGGAGGAAATGGGAGGGGAGGGAGAACAAGACTTGAGGGAAGCATGGCTAGCAGAGGAGGAGGAAGGCCATGCAGTTCTGTAGGAAGGATGGATTCGGCAGAGAGAAATGGAGAAGCGATCCTGAGGATCGGGTGAGGGGAGGTTGGTGCTGACGAGCAGAAAAGTGCGGTGAAGCTGAGGAGGCGGAGAGGAGGCGAGGTAGAGCTGGGGATGGAAGGAGCGAGCGAGCAAATGCATAGTGGTGGTGGTAGTGGTTGAAGGATAACGATGGTGATGAAAGAGGAGCAGGAGCAGGAGCAGGAGCAGGAGCAGGAGCAGGAGCAGGAGCAGGAGCAGGAGCAGGAGCAGGAGCAGGAGCAGGAGCAGGAGCAGGAGCAGGAGCAGGAGCAG